GGTGGTGGTGGTGGTGGTGGTGGTGGTGGTGGTGGTGGTGGTGGTGGTGGTGGTGGTGGTGGTGGTGGTGGTGGTGGTGGTGGTGGTGGTGGTTGAGGATGAGAAGACGAGTGCGAGTGAGGGACTGAAGCTTTGTTCCCAGTTATGTATGATTGTGCCGACTGAAAGGGTCACATTCGGGAATCTTCTACAGCATTCTCAGCAGATGTCATGCGTGAATGCATCGTCTGTGTTTTCGCGGCCTGAAGACAATGGAAGTAGATGGCGGGACTGGCTTTGCACAAGTCCGGAGTGGCAGGAACGACTGACATAAAAATTAACCATCCGGATTTAATTTGTTAAGTGGTTTTGTAGGGAGAACTCGCTGTGAAGTATCGCATCAATTGACTTTTGTAGTACGAAACTAGTAATTGTCCTCTCGATGAGGAGGACGAAGCTGGGCATCCAATTGAGTGGACATATTGATGGGGGTGTCGGTGTATTGACTTCGTTTTTAAAGCACCGGCCAAATTGTGGTGATTGACGAAGAAGGAGAACCACGGGGAGGATGAAGGGAGGCCGTTGATAGACAGAGGGACGGGAGGAGAGCCATACAATAGACAGGTAAATATTTTAGTAGCTTTTATGTCTGTGCAGGCCTGTAGATCTGCGCAGTTTAGTTGAAGGCGGTATTAATATGTTTAGTTTGTTATTTAAAAGGAATAATTGGCTAAATCGGACAAAGCATTTTGCTTTAAAGCTTATTTACTATGGTCCGTGGAGACTTCCCCAAAGTCGAAAGTATACATGATACTCAGGCAGGATCTGTCTTATCGACATAGAGTAGGGCTTGTGGCTACAGGCGTGGTCAGATGGCAGCCTGTCAGGCGAAGGTACAATGGTGGGGCACCTATGTGACCCCTTTACAAAAACTGAGATTAAAACAAATAATTAGTGTATTACTTGTCCTCTCTCCACCTTCGAGCGTCGTTTTTGGCCCTCCACCTGGTCAACTTCCCACATCAACCGTCCCAAAGTAATGGTGACAGTGCGAAATAACCCACGAGCCGACCGTGCCAGTCAACGAATTTCCATGCGACTGAGGCGATACTTGACCGCAACGTCACTGGTGCCTCTTGGCAATTCTACTGACCTGGAGTTTCATCCCGTTTGCAGACTGCATTGGTGGGCGGGGAAGGCGCTGGCCACCGCGCATGCTAATCGCTAGTCCCGGAATTACTGGCCCAAAAGCGGGCCTCCATAACAATGGACGGGTTTTGACATCATTCCGTGAAGGTAGGGTTTCGGGTCTACCCTTCCTTGTCAAGTTGGAGGAGCTACTGTGCATTCACGTAATTGCCATCTTTGCACAGATAGTCCCGTGACGAACTTTTTTTCCAAGAATTCACAGTTAATGTTGCTTCAGTTGTTGATAGTTTTCCTGCAAACCACGAGACTGGGGTAGCTGCCGAAGGTGGACGTCCTTCTGTTAGGGGTGGTCACTGATTCTCCCATTCACAGCATATGTAGCTCTTCTGCTCCGCCACAGTTCATCACCCAGGAATAGAAATTAAGGCAAGTGTCCCATTAGACCGGATTCGCTTTTGGCTGACCTTAATGTAGCTCGCCCAGCCTTCCCAGAAGATGAAAGAAGACATAATACTTGGGCGAAGTATGTACTGTCGACGTAGGGAAGGGCTTGGAGCTACTGGCATGGTCCGGAGGCCAGCTGGCACAGCGGAGCTTCAAAGCGGCTCCTTTACCAAAACCGAAAATTAAACAAACAGCTACTTTATTCCACTTCTAAATGCTCGCCATATTTAATGCGCCTCCAAAAATCAGCATTTTCAACCGAATCAAGTCTCCTGAACACCCGGGTGCTGCGGCGACCCTTCCACATCCACTTTCAGGTGCCAATTAAAGCGCCAGTAAAGATTTTATTTTTTTTCCTTCCCCTTCACTGCCCCTTAATTCACATTTATCCTGAGACTTTCTCGAGGCAAGTAAAAAAGGAGTGGCAAATATTTTATAGGTTTTAACAAAATTGGACATTCATTTTTTTCCTTTTTCAATCCTAAAAGG